AAGGAGTTGTATTTGAAGAACTGACAATGGCAGTTAGAAAAGCTAAGTTCAGAATAAGGAAGTTTATGGTTTGATTTGCATCTCAGCACTTTTTTAGAATCATAGAATCATTAAGGTTAGAAGAGACCTTAAAGATCATCAGGTTCCAACCCCCCCCTTGCCATGAGCAGGGAACCCTACCACTAGATCAGGCTGCACAAAACCAAGTGCAACCATGTCTCAAAAACCTTCAGGAATGGGGCATCACAACCTCCCTGGGAAACCCATTTCAGTTCCTCACCACCCTTATAGAGAAGAATTTCTTCTTAGTATCTAACCTAAATCTCCCCTCTCTGTTTAAAACCATTACCCCTTGTCCTATCACTATCTTCTCTGATGAAAAGCCCCTCCCCAGCTTTCCTGTAGCCCCTTCAAGTACTGGAAGGCTGCTACAAGGTCTCATCAGAACCTTTTCTTCTCCAGGCTGAACAGCCCCAATTTTCTTAACCTCTTAGCAGAGGTGCTCCAGCCCTTTGATCATCTTGGTGGTCCTTCTCTGGACCCTTTCCAACAGGTCTGTATCTTTCTTGTGCTGAGGGCACCAGAGCTGCACACAGTATTCCAGGTGGGGTCTCACCAGAGCAGAGCAGAGGGGCAGAATCCCCTCCTTGGCCCTACTGGCCACACTTCTTTTTCTTAGGCTGGAGGGCAATTAAAAAACAGACAAAAGATTACTGCAATAACACACAAATACAGAAAAGAGCAAAATTTGAAATCACGGGTTTGTTTTGTGCTTACATAAATGTTAACAGACCCTGAGGAGAAGGCTGACAGGCACAAAGACCAACTCAGGTCCAACTCACCTTGTTTATTCAGATCTTAGATAGGGTACAAATATTTAACAAATGAAAAGACTGTAAATCCTAGAATCGTTTTGGTTGGAAACAACCTTTATGACCAAGTCCAATGATTAAATCTTTTGAAAAGGCTGCATGCAAATACCCAAAGGTGCTGGTTCAGCCATGCCTCAGCAGAGTGTAACCAGAGCTGTTTAAATACTACTTTTGAGCAGTCTGGGCCAATATAAATATTATAAACTTTGATTAGCAGCCAAAGACCTGGTGCAAGTAACAAAAAAACCCACAACCACAAAACAACCAAAGAAAAGACCTGCTCAGTACTTCATCACCCCTGACATTTAGAAAATTTGCTTACATCTCTCAGCGTGCAGTTTGTAGTGCGAGTTGGAGCTCCAGGAAAACAAGACACAAAAATGTTCCTGTGAGGTTGAGATGAAGACTGGCTCTTTCCAACCTTATCTTTATTCAGCTTTCCTTCTTGGGAAAGCCACTAGCAGGTGTCTGCCTTTGCACAGCATGGGGCATGTTGGCCATGACTTGGCTACCAGAATTGTGCTTTGCTTTACTAAATTCTCACTCCCACTCATGTTGTCATCCTCATCCAGGAACAAGGAACAGGGCAAGAACTTTAGTAAGTTCAAGGCAGAGGTTAAAGAGAATTTGTAGAGTGATGGTATGAGCTCAGGCTGATGGACATCCTTCCTTCCAGACCACCTCCATGCATTATTGTCTGTAAAAGGGATTCATTAAGTAGCCCTCCCAGCCCTTTTTGCTTGTTAAGTTGGTTTCATTGTTATTATTATGGATGGGAGGAGGAAACAGTTCAGTGTAGACATGAACTCATTTGGATTGGTGTCCTCAGGCAAACACAACCACAATGGAAATCTTATGCATATGAGGTGTAAAGTAAGGGGAAAGGAGGCCAGATTTCAGGGAGTAAACTGATTACTGTAAGCTAGATCAGCACAACAGTAGCACCAGATAAGAGTCAGGTTACTCATTACCACATCACAAAGCCCGAAATTAAGAACTCCCTGCATGTGGATCCTTGCTGAATTTGCATATCTAAGAGACTAAATTCCAGCATGCATCTTTCTTGTATTCTCCAGCCAATACTCTGGTCAAGTTTGGCTTCAGTGCTTCCAACACTGGAAAGCAGACAGGATCACCAGGAATTCTGTCACCACCAGTCAAGTGCTACAGTTCACTCAAGTCTACATCACAAAAATCAAACTGGGTAGAGGAAGAAAGGATCCAAGTGTAAGTGCATACAGTCCAAATAACCAACCAGCAGAATATTTTTTTTTATTTAGAAAAAAAGGGACTCCATCCTCTAGAAGATAAACATCATAATTTGTGCATTAATTATACCTCATTTACCTTTCTTATCCAAAGGCCTGTATTTCCTCCTCCCAACTGTGTTTAAAAGCAAAGATCTGAGCCTTTATGCAAACAACCTAATGGATTCTATTTTCCCTGCTGCATTCAGGGAAGAAAATAATAAAAAAGACTGAATCCACATTCAACTGTCTCCTCTCAATACCTCTCATTTCAGTTCTAAAATTTCATTATTCCCATTGAAGTAAAATTTTCTCATGCTTTCATCTCAGACTTCCTTCTTGCTTGAATTTAGAAGAAAAATAATCACTTTAGCTCCCTGTATTTCCCAGATCACTTTCACTAAGTAATTCCAAAGAAGTCATTTGTGTATTTATTTTACAGTAGTTACCAATTTCTCATTTTTTTTCAACTCTAAATTTGCCTCACAGGGTATAAATCCATATGAAAAAAAATACCACCCTGATTTAATTACATATTTTTCATTTAAAGTACCTAGTGCTCAAGTAATGCTTCAAAAACCAGGAACTGGCAACCAAAAATCCACAAACCAAACCAGAACACAACCAAACCAACCCAGACAGAACAACTTAATACTGTATCCACTTTTAAAGACCTTCCAACTGTCCCCAAGTCCCACTCTCACCATGTATTGTTTCTTTTAGTTGCATTGTTTCCTTGTATCTGCTCTGATTTATTTCACTTACTCTTTACTCCACACACTCGATCCTTTGTCAAGACAATTCTTTCTACACGGGAGTGGATCAGAGACCCAATCAGACTCTACAGTCACTGGTGCTTCTCCACACCCAGAGTAAACAAGACTGGCCTGTCTAATTTCTTCTACAGCACCTTTTCCCTACTTAGTCCACTGGGGCCACTGGCTTTCCTCTTCTCTACTCCTTCCATAAAGTGGGTAGATGCCATCTCACTGCCTCTTTCTCCTTGAGAAGTACCACTTGGCCTGGTTTTCCTTGTTCTCAACTGTGTCCTAAAAAGTGGCCTGGTTTTAATCTCATGGTTAGAGGAAGGGTATAAAGTAAATAACTAGTGCTGGCACTCCACCAATCCCACCCATTTCAGCAACAGGTTGGTATTGCTTACATACCCCACCCCATCTTACTCATAAGATCTAATTCCTGGGCTCTTTTCCTGTCCCTTTGTTTCCACAGCTTGCACTTGTGTTTGACCCTTCCCTGGAAACTCATTGCAACATTTAGCGCTCAGGAGCCTCTCTCCTCTTTCTCTCTCCACCCTCCTTTTCCTCACTCTCATTAGCACAACTTCCTGTTCATTCACTTGGCCCAAACTCTTGACAAAAATCCCACTAACATTCAGAAAGAAACAGGGTCCTTGGCATACCTAGGAAGAGCAAAGTGGGAAGCAACACATGTGCAGTAAAACCTGCATATATTTAAGAAAAGTGTAATTTCTCATGAGGGATGAGAAGGAACAGGGGACAAACATCATGGTACAATACCAGAGCACAGCTTTTCTTTGATTAATCTGTCCTGGGGTTGACAGTCAGTATCTACAGAACAGAAAGATGGAAGACCTCACCTCTCTCCAAATATATAAAAAAAACTCACCACATCTGTTCTTCAAGGTAAACTAAGAACAAGAAAGCAGTCAAGAAGCCAAAAGAGTTGTAGCTGCCAAGTTATTTAAACAAAAACTTAAGTGCCAGCCATGCAATCCATCCCTTTACTCCTTCAATGTGTTACTGTACAGGTAATTATTTGTGTACACACTATTTTTCCTAGGGCACTTAATGTTCCCTTGCTTTTGCTAGTTGTCCATCTATTACAGCTTCCAACAAATCCATGCACAATTGTGACACTTTCTTGATAGTCTACTACATAAGTGTTAGAGACAGTTGCCAAATAATGCCTTTTGCTTCTGAAGTTATGAAACGTGTTGTTAATGAATGCCACACAGTAGAACACAACTGCTCTGTAAGTCAACACTGCGTCTCAGATGAAGCATTACAAGAAGTATTTAAATCACATTTTATTTTTCAAATTCAAAAATAACAATTAACTTTATTTAACGTTACACATCTCACAGATTTAAAATATCATGCTCTATTTAAATATCTGAGTGACAACACTATACAAATAAAATGTTACACAAAATATATTTAAGAAAATGTTTTGGTCTTCAATCTGAACAATAAATAGACAGGCACTTCTACACATACAAAGGAAGCAACCACTATTTAGAATAACTCTTATAAGCAAGATGTGGAAATACAGAAGAAAATCTGAGTTTTGAGAACATGTTTAACTCTACATGAGACATCATGCAACTTCAAAGTGTGTTTCAAAACTCTTAGGATCTGCACAATTCTAGATTTTCTACCGCTTTACAGGAGATAGAAACCATGCTCTCATAAGCAATGTGCAAATTTCAGTTATTTGCATCAAATCAAGCTACCCAATCACATTTAGTGCCAAAACAGAAAACAAAGACTGACCAGAGTAGCTTTTCACATAAATGAGCGACAAGCCAGCTTTGCCTCACACAAGCTGGGAGCAGGGGGCAGACCTAACTGTACCTACTGCCCAGCCCCAAACAAAATCTGTTCTTCCTTCTCCTTGTATATTCAGCTCTTTCATGGGGTGTTTCAATCAGCATTATGCTTTTTTTTTTTTTGTAAAAAATAACCAACCAAGCATCATCTAATAAAGGTAAATCCTTCAGACACAGGCACGCTTTGCACAAAAGATCAAAAGTAAAGGATAAAACACTGTTCCAGGGTGCAGAAAGACTGAAAACTATAAATTAAATAATTCAATAGTTTAAGTCTCATAAGAGTGTTTCATACTTAAAGTAAAACTGCATTCCTCCCAATTTGTGAATTTTCGATTTACAGTGGTTTCCACACACAGAGTACTCAAGGAAAAATTACCTTCCACCATCACAATTAATGAAAGATGCGTTGCAGTAGACAATCCCTGTTTCCAAGACAGCTAACTGGTCACTTACAGCTAGTTACATACTTGAAGTCCTTTTTAATCTTAAGACAAATATTGAAACATAATGACCACTGGAACAGTGGAAAAGTCAGGACCAAGTCTTCAAGCCAACCCCTCAAATTTTAATATCACCCTCATTTTCAAAAGTATGGGAAAAAGTTTCCAGAGAGAGAAAATTAAACTATTAAACGGAGCTTCAGTGGTCCACCAAGAAAGTCAGACCCAAACCTGGTAAGTTATTTGGACTTAAGACATTTATTCCCACTACTTTAACAATTTAAGTGTGGATCTTGCAAGCTTGTCCAAATCTTAATCATTTCTTGAGGCTTTCTACTATGTACTAACATTAAGTTTGTGTAGGAACACATGTTATTTCTGTATTTCTCTTCAATGTCAAATGTTTTGAAGCCTCTGTGTTTTTCCGGAGCAAGCCCAAGCTTCTGAAGGCACATTCCAGTATAAACATCATCAATAGGGTAAAGGAGTACCTGGTCAGATGCATTATTCAGTCTTAATGCCAGATCACCAGAGTACAGAAACCCACCACCCCCTGCATATGGAGGATACGAACCTTCATAAACACTTTCTGGGATGTAGTACTTCAATTTTTTTTCCCTATGAGGTCCAGCATCTTTGATCACATCGCCTATAAATAAGTCTTTGGCTTTCTCCTTTGATAAGCTCTTCAAGTAATCCAGGATCTGATGGGTATTCACAAAAACATCATCATCGCCCTTAAAAATAAACTGGACATCTGCGCAACTGCTGCTGACCCACTTAAGAAACAGCACCTCTTTCAGAGTTAAATTGAAGAAAGTGTCTCTGTAGTTCCAGAGGAGAATGTCTTGGTGGGTTTCACTCTCAAATTTTATCATGTCTGAAAGATCAGGGAAATTATCCTCTGGTGGGGTCTGTCCAAGTAAGAAGACCCTTTTGACTGTCACATCTCCCGATTTTATTTCCTTGCCCCAGGATTCCCTAATTGCTTGCCTTCTATCAAAATGGGGTGTAAGTGACTTAATAGCTAGCAGCAGAAAAGGTTTATGTTTGCACTTGTTTGGTTGATCCATTAATAATGAATAATTTCTACATCTCAAATAAAGCAAAAAGTCTTTGAATCTGTCCGGTAAGCTTGCAAAGTCACTAACCTCTGAATGTACCCATGGGTCAGGGTCACAGGAACTGAGAACACTTGAGTTAGAAACTAAGTTCTCCTCCACAGTCATGTTGGAAAGCAAGGTCAGAATAGGGTTGTACAGCAGCTCAAGCTTCTGTTGCTGTCTGTTCCAATAAGCTTTGTGAGGAGTGTATTTTCTCCAAAATTTGCTGCGTGGTATAATAACACGGCCTTTTGCATTCTTCTCTTGGCTGCCACTTTTTGAGACTTCCACAATCACATAAATAAAAATGTTTACCATCATCAGAATTCCCAGCAGCTTTAATCTTCTGCGTCCAACACTCATTTCTCATATCTGGAAAGAGGAAAACAAAAAAATACATCTTTAGCCTTCTTCCTATCAAGTTCTGATCTCATAAAAACACAGACTACTTTCAGACTAAGAATATGCAAGTCAGTAGCCTAAAACCAGCACCTCCAAAAAAGCAAAAACTAATCTCACTCTAATACACGCACACCTACAGCTAGTAAGGGTTTGGGATTTCACTAGCAAGTAAGAAGCTGGTAGGAGTGTAAAATTTCCTCTTGGTACTTAGGAGTTGTACACAGCATTTTACAGTGCATCTAAATGAGCCAGCAGTACTTGCTCCTCATTTAAGTCTCCTTGAAATACCTGACTGTATAATCATTAGAATCTGAGCTCTCAGCTTGGCAGAGGCAGGCAGAGACTTTTTCCTGCTAGTAAGGTAAGCTTAAGGATATAGAATATATATGAAAAGGTCAGTTATTTTTAAATTGTTTCAAGCATTTATACCTGCACTCTTATACCTTCCAACTACATAACAGGCAGAGCTGGATTTTAAAGCACACAATTTTTTCTGTCCATTTTACTTGATTGTTCCTTGAGAGAGAGAGAGAGAGGCTGACACCACTGGCCAGCTGCACTGATGGTATTCAGATCTCTGCAGACAAAAGAGAACATGGATTTTGGTATTTTTTCTTTCTCCAACTGGAAAAGGAAATGAGGGGCAACAGAAAGTCTAAATATTTCTAGGAAGGGAAAAAAAAACAAACCAAACTGAAGAGAGATCAAAAAAGGAGAGGTTTCCCATATTTTTAAGACCAGGAATATGTCTCTCTGTTGTAGCAAAGGTTATTCTGTGACCAAGCTCCAGTTCTTACTAAGAGAGAAAATGGATCAATCCCCCTTTCTTCCACAGCTGTCAGAATGAAAGGTGCACAATACAAGCAGCAACATGAAAACACTTGTGTTCCTCTAAAGCAATGTTTATCAAACTATTTACTAGCCCAGGAGGATATCAATGTACAAGCTACACGGAAAACCTAATGAAATAGAAGATTTGTAATCACTGTTTAAATCTCAGCTGTAAACACTGTCTCTGAGGTCCTGAAGTCACACAGCAACAGCAGAGAGGAAAGTACTCTTGAGAAGTGTATCTTGTCCTTGCTTTTCATTTTATTTCCAGTCATCATCAGACAATGAAGCTAGACTGACCCTTGGTCTCTTCTGGATTGACTAGTCTTACTTACTTCTCAGCAAGTTAAACACAACATTTAGCAGGAAAGCAGCAGGCAACTGATTGATTAGTTAATCAACTGTTGATTAGTTAATCAACAATTTTTATTTTTTTTTTTTTCCTTAATTGACCTCTAGACTCTCATTAAAACCAAATGGGTGGGGAGAGAAATAATTTTACATTTAAATAAAAAGCCACTCCTAGAAACAATGGACTACTTCTAGAAAAATTCCCACTCTTCCTTCACTTGACCTCATGTACTATCTGCATGTTTATCTTTTTATATGCTCAGGTCAGATCTACATTATTTAGTGTCCTGTTCAAAGCCAGCTATGAAGTCTGCTGTTCTAATTATCAAGTAGTTTTCTTCTGTACCTCAAAGACAAAAACATAGTTGTGGTCAGTGCCATCATTTAAGCTAAACAGCTGAACTGTTAGAAAGCACTGACTGGACACACAAGAGCTCAAAGAAACTTTATCTTCCTCTTCCCACTGCTACAGCAGCTTCCAGTAAAAACAGATCATTACATGCTGTTTTTCTTCACTACCCTTTTAGCACATACAAAAATACAAGAGAAGCAGCTGTCCCACGTTTTGCACTGTTCCTTGCAGTTCAGCATGCACATCAGTGTTTGTCTACCCAGTCCTCTACAGCACTTCTCACTAGAACAAGAAACAACGTGATACTTGGCCTAAGATCCCAGGACACCCAAGACAACAGGGTGAGAAGCTCCCCTATACTAATAGCTAACACATGCAGGACTGTAGAGAGCTCAGCCAGAGCCTGATTTTCAGGATATTAGCACTCTGTTCACAACCCCCAGCTACTGAGCTATGAGTACTCCACACCTCTGGTAAGTCATCTGGAAGACTGACCTGAGGCTGTTCTGATCGAGACACAATTTGCAAAGATTTTATTTTAGTCACCTAACAAAATCATTCAAATATTTTAAATCTGTAACAAGATCTTCCTTAATCTTCCTGGTTTTCACTTTTAGACTTGCAGCAAACGAGACAGGAAAAGCTTCATGTACCGTTAGGCTTGGTAGAACTTTCAATCAGAAAAACTACCAGTCTGGCAAGATGGCAGTGGTTCCATCACACAAAGCACAAAAAAAAAAGAGCTATCAGTCCCACATATACTTCCAGTATAATTTTCAGTCTCCTTTATAAAAAGCTATTCAATATTGCTGAGAAAATTAATACTTCTCAGAAGAGATGTATAACAAGTGACATTCAATATCAATACAAGTAAGAGTTTTTATAAGACATAACATCCACCCACAATTTCGCATGAAAGTATTCTGTAATCAAAAGCAAAATACATGATTTTTTTTCAATTTGTTAAAAATATAACTCATTAAGAGTATCAAACCAAAACTAAGGGCTACCAGGTAAAAAAGGATCAAAACTGCTGTGTTAAAACGTGTCCTCTTTCTAAACTAGATAAAGACAGGCTGTATTAAACACTTATTCACCGCATTAGATAAAAGGTTCCTGAACTAAAAGCAAATAGAAAACAGACTTCAGAAAGGCTACTCTGTACACTGAAATAGTCCTCAGTTTTGCAGTTAGTACATATAAGCTTTAATGATTACACTTGAATACTGAAATTGATAAAAGATGCCAGTTTGGCAGTTTCATACCAAGTGAATTGGATTTATCACAAAACACAGTATTACAACCCTCATCACAATGGCAGAGGGCATGTTGCCTTTGTAATGTCGTTGCTGCTGGGGGTTTGGGGATTTTTATTTTCTTTTGGGTTGTTCTAGGCTTTTCTAAGAAAACACAGCCTATGCCTCAAGGTAAATCTAATTTCTTCATCTGCTTTGCTGATACTGCAGTGATTGACCACAGTGCCAGCACAATGGAAATATTGTGTGCTGGGCAGCCTGCTAAGAAGCAGCATCCTACAGCACCCACTTCCTGCTCACAGCTTCCTGACAGTGATCTGGACAGATCACAGGAAATTCCTCCTATCTTCTTTCGTCAGCATTAGCATCACAAAAATTCCCAGCTGCCTCCTTTGTCAGCAGAGAACAATCTGTTAACGAAGCCAAAAACAAACTAAAAGCGATCTGATTCATACTTAAGTCTACCCGATGCACTTTCATACAAGTTTAGTTGAGAGCTGAGAGGAGCAATACAAAGCAATTCGAAACATTCTTGTGCTTTAAGCCTTAAAAAAGAAAATGTTAGAACACATAGCTAGTTAGCAGAAAAAGCAGAACACAAAAGCAAAATCCTACATATTGGTACAGCAAATGACAGTACACACAGAACCTCAGGAACAGAAAATCTTGCAGAAATTTATTTCCACTTCAGTCAATACGAGTTACCTACACTCAATCTGACACAGTTTTTCAATGCTCGTTTTCAACTCCTCAGCTACACTAATACAGACCCTTTTTAGCAATCAGTTCAAGTTTGTACAAATCACATTTCTGCTTATGCAACTTCCTGCTGCACAGTTACGCATCAGTTATCATTGCATACATAAAGTCCATTTGTTCAAAGCCTTTTGAAAACATCCATGTGGCTAGGAAAAAAAAGAGTTAACATTAACCATACTCTGGATAAACGAAGGTTCTGTCAAGGATACAGTATTTGGAGAGACTGATTCTGCAGAAATTAGGGGAAAAGAAGAAGGAGTTGCCCTCTTCAGCTCCTCTCCACCCATACACTTCACTGCATCAAACCTAAGGTATTAACAGAAGGCAACAGATTTATGCAGCCACAAAAGCAGCACTGAGATCAAGAGAGGGATGGAAAAGGCAAGCCAGCAGAACCTGGGAAGAAAAACAGCTTCACTCACTGTAGGACCAAGCAGCAATCAATAAAACAAGATGAAGTACAACAGAGAAATAGAGGTATTACATACAAAAAAATATTCTGACTGCACACAAAATCTTTAAGTCCAAATAACATTAATGTAAAATAGTGAGAAACCGTTCACAGGTTATTTTCAAACAGTATTATTTTATACTTTATCTCAAGAGTGAATTTATTCCAAAAGCCTGTAAGGAACCTAGAAGTCTAGAAGAGTTGGTATTAAGTGAGAATCACAGAATCACTCTCCTGAGCTGTAAGGGATCCTCAATGAAGATCATTGAGTCCAACTCTTGACCCAACACAGGGTAACATAAAAGTTAAACCATTTATCCAAGATCCATGTTCTTGAACACCGAGTATGCACACTCTGTCCAGAAATTAATTATACAAAAGACACACTTTTCTGGAGGCAGTAATTTACAGAAACAGGGGCCATAACGCCCCCTGAGAAAAGACAATGGTTACATTTGGAGGATGCCAAGCTCAAGGTCAAATCCAAGAACAAGTTACATCTAAGAGTACCAGCCAGGTCGGCAGTCACCAACCACATGAAGTTTAACAAGGGGAAGTGCCAGATTATGCAGTGGAGATGGGGCCACCCTGGAGGTAAGTACAGACTAGGGAACAAATGACTGGAAAGCAGCACGGCGGAGAGGGACCTGGTTGATGGCAAACTAAATATGAGCCAGCAGGGTGCCCTGACAGCCAGAAGGGCCAACTGTGTCCTGGGTGCATCATCATAGTGTTGCCAGCCAGTCGAGGGAGGTGATTGTTCCACTCTACTCTGCACTGGTGCAGCCTCACCTTGAGTACTGGGTGCAATTTGGGGCACCACAATATAAAAAGGACATCAAGCTATTGGACAGTGTCCAAAGGAGAGCCACAAAGATGGTGAAGGGTCTGGAAGGGACAACTTATGAGAAGTGGCTAAGGTCACTTGAATTATTCAGCTTGGAGAAGAGGAGGCTGAGGGGTGACCTCATTGCAGTCTATGGCTTCCTCGTGAGGGGAAGAGATGGGGCAGGTACTGTCTTTACTGCTGCACACTCTCCCCAGGA